TTCAGAAATCGGAGTTGGTTCCTTAGCAGGTATAAACTATTTAAACATATCTACCCTGAAACTTGTACACGGGTGGTCTGTGAGCATTAAAAAAAGAGCTATGTTAAGTGAATAAATACGTTGTTATGAATAGCACGTTTAGCTTTAGCTTTCCATTTAAGATGGGCAAACATCAGGCTAGAGTACTGAGAAACCAGAGCTTTTCCCTCCTTCCTTCCCCACAAAACCCAGTTCTCACTAGGGATTGTCCATTATTTATTGCTCATTATTTGCATTACTGTGGTGCCTAGAAGCCCCAGCTGAGTTCTGATCCCTGTTGTGCTGGGCACTGTACCTACAATCTCTGCTTGTAAGAGTTTACAGTCTAAAAAGACAAGACAAGACAAGGGTACGAGGTGAGGGAGAGGAGGAGAGGTGAAGGGACTTGTCCAAGGCCATACAGTGACTGTAGGAGGACTCCATTTCTGGACTTTCCATCCATGTTTTTCAGCTTGGATAGTCAGTGACCCAAAAAGAGCTTGGGGCCAAATTAAGCCACAATTCTATTTTTATGCAGTTATAACCAGACAGATTTTGGCCCTTCAGCTTGATGTTTCTGAGCTATTAGAGCAGAGTTCAGGAGAACCAGAACCAGAGGCGGGTAAGTGGTGAATAAGCCTATCATGACCCCATCAAGATACACGTGTCCCTGGAGGAGTTAGCACTCACACAAGGCAGAGCTCACCAAGAGCTCAGGCCTGCTCCTCTTGAGAACCATTTTCCATTTTAATGTGAAATCCTTTGAGCCCTATTGGATCTTCAGTGTGGTTTAGCAGATGGATAGAGGAAAGCAGTTGATCTCAGACCAACTATTTCAGGTTCTGCTGTTGACTCGTTGTGTGGGTTTGGATAAAACACATGACCTCCTCACTCAGTGCTTCAGTGTCCTCATTTGTAAAACCGCGACTCAAAATCTTTGGGAGATGCTTTGAGATCACTGGATGAATAGTTATTTAAGGGCAAATTATTTCTATAAGCTCTTAGCAGCTAGTGGCACCACCAAATATGATTTGCTTTTCATTCACTGAGCAAAGCTGTGGACCAAACAAGATATTAAAGAGGAAAATTGTAAGTGATACAGCATGTTTTTATTTGAAAAGCTTTGGTACAGATTTCAACTGCTTAGGGACATTGGCAGCACATGTCCTGGCTTGAATGCTGCCTGTCATGCATTGGTTCATAAGGGGAGATTGCAAAAGATGAACAGTTGAATGCATCAAAATAATTGCTCTGCTGTTCTAATTATGGATGAGCAGTGCTGCTTTGTGGGGCGGGAGAAGAAAGGATGAATATATATATATAGCTCTTTTCCCTGCTTGTACAGGAAGCCTCTTCTGATAGGCCATGCTAGCTTTGTCTGTCTTGCATAAGCTTTAATCTAAAGTTAGAGATGTTTTTAGTTGATCTGTGTTAATGTTGGGTGGAATTAACAAGCATAAAAGAAGATCACGTGACTGCCCCTTTTCCCTTGCTTTATCGGACTCCGGCCAAAGCAGATTGACTAGAATCCGTCAGGGCTGGGCTGAAATCGCACAACTCTAAGACTGAGATGCCAGCAATCGCAGTCCTTTACAAAGGAGCCATCATTATTAGCAGGTAATGCCTCCAAACAGATAAACTGACTGAATGTGAGTGGCCTTTTGGAGGAGGGTAAGGAGATGAACAGAGGGGAACTTTGGGGAGCGAGAATACTGAATTCCTGACTATGTCATAGGTATTTAATGTGGGATCAACTGTTTGTTGCTGTTGCTGGGCACTAGAACTGCTCAACTGTAAAAAACGCAGATTTCTTTGTCTTCTATAGGGAAGTGATTTAGTAGGGAAGGGATGGTGTGCCTATTTCACAGCTCATAGACAATGATGCAGAATGAGAAAACCAATGGGAGTATCAATAGGATAAGGCAGAAGATTTGCCTCATCCAATCTTAAAGCTCTCCCCTGCCCCTTGGTTATTTTCTATGATGTTTATTCCTTCTCTCTATCCTAGACTAAGGAGCAGAGGTTAGGGGATATTGAATGGCTGTGGTCTTAGTTTGGAGTCACCTACAAAGCAAGGGGACAGTAAGGATGAAAGGGAAAACCATTTTAAAATAGGAAGGAACATAAAAAACCTCAGCAGCAAAGGCACGTGAACTAGTGTGCTGTTGTACTTGAGTCACTGCTCTCCTATGAAAGTCTCCCTTCCTCTTCCTTGATTCCCTAGGTGGGACAATGATTAATGGATAATCATAGTTTTCTGAGTTCTTACACATTAAGCATGAGTTTGTCAATGCTGAAGGCCATTTGCTTCCACCACATCTTTTTTAGTCCCTCACTGGGACCTTGAGTTGTCTGAAATCTGAAAGTGTATTACTTCTGGTCTTAGCACAGTTTGTTTGGGGTTTTATTAATGCATTCCATTGTTTGCAGATCCAAATGTATGTCTAATCATCTAGAAACAAATTTATGTGTAATCACCTAGTTACCTATTTTATGAAGCCTCCATCATGATGTTCCATTTTGGTTTGAATTAAGAGAAAGAGTCCCATGATTAATGGTACTCTTTCCTCCGACATTTATTCATATAATTCTGAAGGATTCTGCAGAGTAACTTTAATTTACTTGATTTGTTAGTATAAACTAGGGTAGCTTGGCTGAAAACAAAAGAGCTGTGCCCTTTTATAGTTGCGAATGTAGCCATCGATATTTATTTAGTGCCTTGAACATGTGCAATATTACGTACGTATTAAGGATGATACTAATAAATGTGTGGGATAAGGATTCTTTAATTCACTCTTAGTTCCCAGTCAGGAACTAAGGCTTGCATATATCTGTCTTGAAGGAGTATTTTCAAATTGCTTCAAGATGCTTGGCAAGGATCTAAATGCAGGAAAAGCAGCTTCTGTAGGTTTATGCCTCTCATTACCTGTTCAGCTTACATAATCTTAATGAATCTTCTTATATATCCATTTCTGTGCCTTTGCTGAGCCCAAGCTCGTATTTCAGTTCTGTTGAATGAGGTACTCCTTTGTCCTGTCAGGTAATCTCTAGGAACTAGAGAATTTATGGGGGAGGTTGAACTAGAGAGGATTTCAGTACTTGGCTGCTAGGGTCTGGAACCAGCTTCCAAGGTGGTGCAGGCTCCCACCCTGGGGGTTTTTAAGAGGAGGTTGGATGAAAACCTTACTGGGGTCGTTTGACCCCAGTGCTCTTCCTGCCATGGCAGGGGGTCGGACTAGATGATCTGCTCAGGTCCCTTCCGACCCTAGAAACTATGAAACTATCTTGAATATTTGGATGCTTGTGGCTTGTTAAAGTCCACCATTCTCATGTAAAGGGTTTACAGTGAGACTGTTCCTAGAGGACCATGAGGAGAAAGGTCTGTGTTTTAAACTAGTGGGGCTGATTCTAAATAGAGCTTCAGTAGCCAAAATAAAGAAAAATGTTGCAGGGGGGATTGCACCCCATACAGCAGTGAGGTGCAAGTCAGTGGCTTGATGCAGCCACCAGTCCTCCATCAAGGTCCCACTCAGAAGTCCTCAACATTGGTCTAATTCTGTTTCCACTGAAATCAGTCTCAGTTCCTATTATCTTTTTCAAAGAACCTTCATGATAGGAGCCTGCGTTACAGCGCTGCCTCGCTCAGGGAGCTTATTTTTGCCTTAACCCCAGGTACTGTGCTTTACTATACCATGCTGTTTTATATTCTACTATGCTACACTGCACTGATGAAGTATTGATTGTTGCAGGGTGGAAGATGGTATGTCCATCATGTCTGTGCTGCAAAATGGTCAGAACTGCTGAATCTTTGTGCTAATGGGAGATCAGAGTTGGAAGATGCACAACCTCTTGACCTTTCCAAACTGTTTTGAAGTTATCTTGTTCATCCAAGTATATTAACATCATGGCTCACTTACTTGTTTGGGTGACTGGGGATCCCAGGCTTTGGGAATCTGAAATTCCTGATTTAGACAAAACCTGGCCAGAAATTTTTTGCTGAATTTTCAGTGGAATCAGTTACCACAAATTGTTTGTCAAGGGTTTTTTGAGTGATAGATGTGCTTTAGCTTGATGATTATGATGGCAGCCTGGCGTGTAGGAGACAGAAGTTTAAGGTGTGTTACTCTATCTTTTTTGAAGTGATCTGGGATTACCCCCCCCAAAAACCCTCTGCTCTAAGTCAGGCAGAGCAGGTACTTGACTCTGAGTCTCCCATCTCACAGGACAGGTTGTCAAAAGAAATGAACGTAGGTATGTGAACATTGCTTATCCTTGTTATTGACTTGGGATATGTTTTAACACCTGGGTATTGATACAGCTTGGGCTGTGGTATGTTTGAAATCACAACCAAACTCCTTTGTTATAGATTGCATCTGTTTGCAAGATTGGAGGGTTTTTTACAGTAAACACTTTCAGAATATTTGCCCAGAGTTTCATCTAATTTTTGCGCAGGTTTATATGTTAAGTAATTCTCCTAACCTGAATGAAGTTATTCTACATCAGTGGTTCTCAGCCCGTGGGCCGCATGCGGGCTCAATGAGCACACTGTTGCGGCCCATGAGACAGCCTATTAAAACCTTTTTTAAATGGATACACAGGAAGTAAGCTGTGTGGGTGCGGCCCACATAACACATTGAGAGCTGCAAGTGTGGCCCACTATGGCGAATAGGTTGAGAACCACTGTTCTCCAAAAATACGTGAGGAACTGAACACAAACTGTCTCTTCATATCAGCTGTGACTGTGAGGTGTTGGTGACCATAGCTGGGTTTGCATATGTTAGTTTGTAATTTTGTGAATACATATGCTTTTGCTCTCTGTCAGCTTGGACTTCAAGTGTGGATTTGTGTCTTTCATGCTATTCACGTTTGCATGGCTGTAGCAAAGTTATGTGTATGGACTGAGTTTCTGTATGTGTGCGTTTATTTGTTGTCTTGTGTCATTAGTCATGGCCTCCATAAACTGTATCTGGTTTCTCTTCCAGGACACTAATGGGACCATATGGAATGGATCGTACTGTGCATTGTATTGATTTCTATGACTGCGCAAATGGGCTGGGTGAGTACCACACACACAATACATGAGTATTAAAGGAAGTGGAACATCACTCAAGATTTCAGTGTTTTAGTTCAATATCACCCTGTATC